CTTACCTAACCCCGCCCTATCCTACCTGTCACTATGACGTCAGCCAATCAGGTAACACGGTTGAAAACGCCCCTCTGTTTTGGCCTCGCCCACCGATCTGATAACTCCCATTACTTTCCTGCAGAGACCTATACTTGGTTAAATTTAGGGGTAGGGTTAGTTATGGACCTTCCATTCAACCTATTTGGAAAGATAGTTCCACCCATTTTGGAATAGCCCCACCCACTTGGAGCTGGGTACAGGCTGCTGCGTGGCCTATTCTCATAATTTCAATAAGAATCCATGCGATTGGGAGTTTCGTTTGAGGGTGCAAAAGTTCCTCATGCAGATTTCACTCATGTTCAAGTTGGTCACAGAAATCCACCAAGTTCACCAAAAGAAAGCTGATTGGTCTGTGCTTCATAAATTGCTACACTATTGACAATGGTCTATAATCTGTTGTTGCTTGAGAAATCTTGCTAATGTGACCACACCTTTACATTGATACACCAATAGGTGGCGTTAAGTGGTCATATTTATAAGTGAGTCACTTGTGTGAGTGAATAATTCATTCAGGGATGAATCTTTGAATTATTCACTCAACAGATTAGTTTAAACACTTACGCCTGCGGCCTGCATTGCAAATGGGATAAATCTACCTCTGAAGGGCACTTCAGAGTCAAAACAACCATGGCCACCATATTGAAGGGTTGTTCCAAAACCGAAGGGCTCTTCGGAATGAATGATTTTGAAGAGTACAATTGATGGACACTTAACTGCTATGACTGGTTGCGCAGATTTAAAATGTATGACGACAGCACCTCCTTTATTGCCTGGGTAAGACCCTACTTCATCCTTTTGAGGGTAAACACTTTGAAGGTTTTATGGCATAGGGAGTCCTTCAGAATGGAATGCGGTCTTATTCATTCAGGAACAAATCAAGAATGAGTCACTGAATCATTCACTTAAGCGATTTGTTAAAACACACTGGTTCAATATGTGACACTTTGCTCACAGATGCGCATTCAGCTTGGAAATGTTTTTGTTGGTGGAGCAAAACTAGACAATAACTGACTATATATTGAGTCACTGAGATAAGTTACGCAATATTAACTTTTGGTTTATTGAAATGACGTAGAAAAACACTATGTATAAAGAGCCTGCAGTGTGTTATGGCTTCTATACCAGCAGGGGCTATTGAGTTGACTGCATCATAAATTCATCTTTATCGTGTCATTGTTTTCATGAACAAAACCCTATCATCTCACTCTCTGTTTTTTCCATTCTATCTATCTACCTCACTGGTCTAGTGCAATCTGTATGGCTTCTCTGGGCTTTGAATGATTCTGTCTGAATCAGTCGTGCTCAGCTGTGTAATTCCTCTCTCCGATGAGCAATGCATCTTTATCTCACTCCTCCAGTGTGTGTGTGTATGGGTGTATGCTCCTGTAGGTTCCTGCAGCATCTGTCAGCATGTGCTAGCCTTTCCGCTGAACAGAGCACTTTGAGCTGCCTTTGTAAGACAATATGCAGTCATAGCCAAGGCATATGCATTATAGATTACCTTTCACAAAGACAGACAGAAAGAGAGGTGGAAAAATACTTATTTTTGAGGAGTTCATAAAACATCACATTTCTCCCTTTATTGGTATTATGTATTAAAAGTTGCATGAATGACAGACAAATGAAATCTATTGAAAATAATGGGCTGATGATGAAATTTTCATTTAAAATGTCTGAATGAATTATCTCTATCTGGCAATTTGTAAAAGCATGTAAAAAAAAACAAGGAAAGGAAAGGATTCACTCATTTAATGATTTAATGAATTAACACACAAATTAATACCTTAAATTAACTGCTCAGTGTGCTCATTTGCCTCAACTTAACCTCAATAACTCAAAATGTTAAACTGGGGCAACAGATTGTGAGAGTAAGATTTTCTGTTCAATGTAAGACATTTTTGACAAACACGCATGATAGTACAGAAGAAGCTACTTTAGTTTTTATCTATTTATTTATATATTCAGAAGGGAAGACAGAACAGGACGTGATTGAGTGAAGAGGTGGAACGGGATTGTGAAATGTTGCATGCCAGACTCGAACTGGCATCACCCACATCAACGGCACAGCTCAGTGTCAGACCACTAAGTCATAAAGGTAACATTCACATCACAAAAGGCAACACATGCCATTATGATGAGGAAAAATAATATAAAATACTTGGGTTGAGTTACTTATTTGATTAGCTAGGTGACCTTTGAGATATATTTAAATCCTACTTCATGATTAAGCAGACAACGCAACTCTATATTCATGTATTGTTGCCAGGCAAAACTCTAAGCTGAACTCAAAGACCTCAAACAAACTGACCCTCTTATTTAGAGCTCTGAAATTAGCAAATAACATGTAATTACCAGCATGAAAAGAGATTCTATTTTGATTCTATTGTGGTGGGTCACCATTTGCTCAAAATTCGAGATGGTCCTCACTGCAGAACACAAGATCCAGGGGGCGTGGTTGGATCCAGATCCAACTCCTCCCACCTTACATATACCAAAACCTACCCGTCTCCACCCCCTGATCCCTAAACCCACCCTTCTCCACCCCTAAACCTACCAATCTCCACCCCCTAGATGTGGATCCAACCACGCCCCCTGGATCTTGTGTTCTGCAGTGAGGGGCTACTGCAAAATTCTGGAATTTAAGTGGTGGTGAGGGCCTCAGGTGGAATAAGCTGATCCACAGGTGTGTTGTAGCTGGATAAACAGAATGCGTATTACTATTCATGAGGCAACATGCATACTTTCTCTGCCTAGAGACCTGTCCATCTCATCTCTGCTCAACAAAACACAAACTGTGACAAAACAATTATCAGTTTTTAATTAAACAAACATCAACAGAGCGTACACCGTGAGCGATGAAGAAAGACAAAGTATGCCTGAGAGAGCTTGTGCATGAATGTGCGTGTGTGTGTATATTTTGGCAACCAGATACTTGTGGATGTGAACACAGAGGAAAGAAAACAAAAACAGTGTTGTCTTTAAAGTCTCAATTGTTTTTCCTATTTGAATTAAGGAATAGTTCATAAAAAATGAAAATTCTGTCATCATTTACTCACCCTCATGTCATTTCAAACATGTATGACTTCTTTCTGTTGTGGCACACGAAAATATTTTGAAGAACTCTCCTCAAAAACATTTCTCTTGTGTTCCACAGAATAAAGCAAGTCATATATATGTCATGTATTTTTGTGGGCGGCATAATGACTTGTTAATCTCATCATTTGTCCATTGTCATATAGTGATGTCACTATGGCAGACATTATTTCAAAGAATCAACCTGTCAGATGATATGTGAGAGCGAGCAAACGTGAGAAAGACAGAGACGTATAGAGACTGACAGCGATATCGGGAGTCAAGTCCTTGACTGAACTGCAAAAGTGCTGACATGCGTGCCACCCCTGAAGTGTCTATCAGTCTGCCAGGATCGCAACTGAGATAAACTAGCTTTCGGCCCCTAATGACTAGTAAATGTGGCATCCCTGTGATAAAACATGACGTGCCACTACGCCACACAGGAGTGAGTGATTTCAGCCTCACAACTTCATTACAAAACCAAGGACACGCTCGCAGCCGGGCACATACTTCCTCACCTCAGGCCTACACAACCAAATGCCCCTGCCAGCTTGCTCTGACAGCCCTGACAGAAGAGAGGGTCACAAGTCATGCAGCCAGGCATAAAGTACAATCAACCTGCCACTGAAATGTATAGAATTAATCTTTCTCGGGCCCCTATTTCATTCGGGGGCTCACAGCCAAGTGAAACAAGCGGCAGTATCTTTATTGAGAGAGCAGAGAACAAATGCAGCCATATGAATTCTAAAGTCACATTTTGCCATGGCCAGAGTTTGAGCTTGTGAACTTACACCGACCTACTGACATAAAATGATGAATTATTAATTAAGCACCTTTTTCTTTAAATTTTAGATGCACTGGAATAAAAAAAATAACCTACCTTCATACACCAAATACTGGATGGCTGCACGCAGGCAAGCATTTGAGCTGCACTGCACTGCACGGCATCCAAAATGTTGTTTCCAAAATGTCTTTCTCAGGTTCATGTTTACACTCTGATTTACTGCAGACGGTTTTCTTGTAGTTTACTTTGCAACTTTGATAAGAGGGAAGGTGAAATGTTCTGCCTCGATGAGCACTGAGCATCTTAGTAAAGCTGTTTGAAGTCAAAAACTTAAGACGACAGATAACGGTTGCCTGCACACTGCACATTTTCGAGCTTATTTGCACCTGTTTTCGTAACTCCTGGAATAAACTGGGAATAACATATTTTGGAATCACACAAAACCACATTAACTAAGGTTCAATATTAAAAATATTATAATATTATAAAACTTTGGTACTTGGTACCTCTGTCGTTAAAAAGAATACAATATTTTAACAGGAAGGTTATTAAAGAAAAACTTTATAAAATACTGCTTGAAGATCCCATATGTAATTAGACATTATGCAGTAGAAGGGCAATAATTTATGGTGAAACTTTGATTAAAATGTTAAAGGAAAAGTTCAACCACAAAACATTGTTTTATCATTTACTCGTCCACGTTGTTCCAACCCCTTTCTTTCTTCTGTGAAACAAACTTTGAGGCTAGACTGGATGACTGGCTTAGTCACCATTTACTTTCACTGTATGGAAGAAAGACCCAGTTGAAGTGAATGGGGACTGAGTCCATAACATCTTTTTTCCACATAAGAAAGTCAATACAAGTTTCAACACTGTAAACTATGACAGAATTTTCTTTTTTTTTTGTTCAACTTATACTTTATATTATTTATAAAAGTCATGTTTTTATGAAATATCACAACATGACCTTTATGGCAGCTTACAGTTACACTATTATACACTACTGACTCCTATTGGCTTAGACTAGTCTTTTTACATGCCAGAAGACTCGTGTTTTTAACAAACGTGCTAAAGTCCACGAACATTCATTTGAGTCAAACAGCGTTATTACAAATCTTGCGTCAGCCGTAAGAGCTTGCAAAACTGGGGCTTGGCGCAAAAGCTTGTTTTTCCGATCGCTGAGCCAAATGAGACTCCTGCGTGGACTCGGCTTGCTTCATTTGTTTGCTGAAGGCTTGCTGTAAATTTGCTGGAATCATGATTGACAAGGAAGATTTTGGGCCCATCACACGGAGTCGTAGACGCGCGACCATCACGAGCGCAAAGAGCGAGACTGTGAAACTCAGAAACGGTGCGATCGCAGCAGCCAGTGATCTCAAAAGCGGACCCAAGGCGCGGGGGTCTGTCACCAAAAACGTACAACTAAACGAAGACAGCAAACAAAAATGCGATCGCTACGACAAAATGAGGTGAGATAGGCTATAGTGTACGTCAGAACGTCGTGAAAAACGTAGCTTGTTCTTGACAAAGATAGATGGTCACTGCAAAGAGACGGGGGCAGGATTCGCCAGTGTGCCTATGTGGCACAGTACAGGACATTTAACCCCTTTTTACCCCATCATTTCACTTATCTTACTGTTACTGAAGAACTATTCCATTTAGCAAAACAGAAAATAATATGTGCGATGATTTCAGGATTCTTAGCTGCGTAATTCTACAACATTTAAAAACGATATTATAGATATTAGGGATGTAGGCACATGTTGGGGGTTATTGGGGAATTGAATGGAATAAATTAAGAATAGACTTGTAAAAAATAAATAAATAAACAAAGTTGACCAATGAGCTGCAATATTGAGAGGAGGGGTGTGCCTTCAATGTTTACAGAGTGCAGTCATTTTCAGAATTCATTTTCACTTACTGTAAGCTACTGGGTTGTTAATCAAACTAATATGCTTTTGTCAACGTCATCAGCCCACAATATTTCAGTCTCTCATTTTTAAGTACTCGTGTTTAACATAAGAATTCCTGGTGAAAATCTACATTACCCATAATTCTTCAAAGAAATCTGCGCACTATTTATTGTTTATTTTTTATTTGGATCCCCATTAGCTTCCACAAAGTGGTTGCTTGCTAGTCTTCCTGGGGTCCACAAATCAATCCAAGACAAACAGTCTCACAAATAAATAAAAAAGAGCAAAAATACAATTTCACTTATCACATCACAAAACTATAGGCTACATCTCAGCAGTAGCAGCACTTAAAATATACATCTACAAAACTATTTACGTATATGTTTTGCCATAAACAAAAAAGGAGGGATCTAAAGGCATATTTAGATTCTTTTAGCTTTGTTATATTTTATGAATTTTATACTTAATATAAAAATGACTTTATCCATAAGATAAAGATAAAAATTCAAATGAAGAGTTCATTTGCCAAAACAGATAACTCTGTTTCTAACAATTTTCAAACATCATGTTTTTTCATTGTGCATTCCAATTAATCTCAATCAGACTGCAGTTGGGTTATTTTGATTAGGTAAAAAATAACACAAAAAAATACAGCTAACTAACACAATTAAAACATGATAACTTAATAAAAAAACATGATTTTTGAACATTTAAAAAAACGGAGTTATCTGTTTTTGCAAATGAACTCTTCACATATTAAGAACAAAAATGTAACATTGTAAACACTTTAATCATCATTACTGTTTTTATTTTATGTCCTCTTTTTCCCCTTCTTATAGTTGCCACAAGTTGCAGGAGTCGATGCTGAGTTCTGCAAGCAGCTTCAAAAATTACAGAGGCATCCTGAACTGGTGTGTGGTAATGCTGGTGAGTCTGAAACAGTAACTGAGCCATGCTGCACTGCAAGCTTTGACTTGCCTACTCATTATTCTAGTTAAACTGTGTCACAAATATCAGTGTGGGTTGTAAACATTCCCTCTCACTCAGAGGTGCTTCCAAGATTAGTACCAATAATTTTTACTGCCTCAAGGCGGTTACAGAGCTTAAAGGAGGTTATATATATTATGCTGTAGTTTAAAAGAAGCCAACTTGTTGCTCAGACGTCCATTTTCTGATCATTGGATCATTTAAATGTGTTGTTTCTGAGTGTATACTGTTTATATAATGTATGTGAGTCACGTTGAAAAGTTTGGCTTTCTGTCTGTAATGAAGTAGATGCATTAGTACTTATAGAAGCTAACATATTTTCTTTTGGACATCCTCTCTTTGAACTTTGAACTCTCAAACTACTAATAGAAATAGTTAATTGAAATAGAGAAAATTTGTTGAAAATATACTCATACTCAGGCCATCCCAGATGCAGATGAGTTTGTTTCTTCATCAGAACAGATTTGGAGAAATTTAGCATTATATCACTTGCTCACCAATGGATCCTCTGCTGTGAATGGGTGCCGTCAGAATGAGAGTCCAAACAACTGATAAATACATCACAATAATCCACACGACTTCAGTCCATAAAAGAAACAAACCCATCATTTTTACTTTAAACTGTTGCTTCTGGGTAAAATAGTCAAAAATCTATAATAATGCTTCTTCAAGTGAGAAAGTCCATCCCCTGTTGTCCTTTCACATCAAAATCAACTGACATATTTGTTTAGAACTGCTTTAGACTGTTTTTGCTTGTAAACTATGCTTGATCTGTGAATACTGGATGAAAAGGCAATATTATAGATAGAGGACCCATATTTTATTAAGTTACAAACTTCTTAATGTAGGAGTTGTTTCTTGCAAACATGCAGCTTTTCACATAAAAATATGTGCATATATGGGCTGGACTCTTGTGGATTCCCTGTAGATTATTTTAATGATTTTATCAGTTGTTTGGACTCTCATTCTAATGGCACCCATTCACTGCACAGGATCCATTGATGAGCAAGTGATATAATGTTAAATTTCTCCATATCTGTTCCAATGGAAAATATAAACATATAAACTACATATACATCTTGATGACCTGAGGGTGAATACATTTTGAGCAAATTTGAATTTTTGTATGAACTATTGCTTTAATGGACTTAATTTTAACAGAAGAAAACCCACACTAGTGACAGAATTGTATTGCAATGACACATTTTAAGTAGCGTCGGATGGTGTGTGGCAGTCATGTGGCATGTGAAGAATCGTTGATCAGTGTGTCTGTTTATGGAGACACACTTAATGCCAAGTGACGCCTAAAAATAAACGGCCCGAAACAGCTTGTCTGTCTAAACACTAGCTGAACATGGAGGACAGCCAGCCAAGTCCTTGTCTTCAAAACTGTGAAGAATGCATTCACGCTTTTCAACATACTGTTAATGTGAGCTTTGACATGACTCTATTTTGTCCTCTGCATTTTTTTTCAGCCAGACTTTTTTTTTTTCATATTCCATTGGTACGGCTCTGCTTACATTTGCGTTTTCTTCCTCTTCTTCTCCATTGTGCTTTCTCATTTTATACATATGAATAAGTGTGTCTGTCTTCTGTATAGATTTATGGACATGAATTTCAATATATCTCTGCAAACTGTGTACAGACAGTGAATAAGGATCTTTGGCGGATTTTATTCTGGTAGTTCTGACTTGTTTAGCTAGTCTTAGTGATGTATTCTTGCATTGGTTTTCATTTGTTTTCTTCATGAATGTGTGTCTCTGCTCTTTTGCAGGTTTTGAGCAATGCACGCCTGTTCTTGGAAAACCTTCTCAGGTATGAACAAATACAATATGCATACAGTTTCTTGTAAAACAGCCAAAACACATTATGAATGCTTAAAGTCTGGAAAAAAATGAAGGATTCGTCCATGCATGGTTAATTTTTAATTTTTTTTAATTTAACCTTTTTTTTTTAAACAAACTGTCACAACTCCGTCTCCTCTCTGATCACGTATGCTGGACTTCTCCAATTATTTAGTCCACTTAAAACCCACCCCTGTCTTACAATCGACTGCAAGCTCGCATTCAGATTTTCCTCTATCCAATCAAAAACCGATTAATTGAACCATGTCCCTATCTTACATTTTTTTCTTTTTTGATAATCTGTTTCACTTTAATGTATATCACAATATGGAAGAAAAGGTATGTTGCTACTTCCATTTCATCATGACCTTAATAAAATTAAATTGGGAGATTTGTGGCTTTTGGTGCAATTATTTTATCTTAAAAATGGCAATATTAATATACATACAGTTGCAGTGTTCCAATAATTTTGGCCACCACTGTATATCAATGTGTGTGTGTGTGTATTAGGGCTATCAGTTAAACGCGTTAACTTAATCAACACTTCATGTATTTAATTAGATTATTAGAAGATTATTAGATTAGAATTTTAATCCACTGACAGCCCTAATATATATATATACTGTATATATATTTATTTATATGTATATATGTATATATGAAGAGTTCCAGTGCAAAAGCCTCTAAATGTCAGGGGTGGTAAAGGAAGAGGAATCAGTTGCAGGGATAACAAGGATTTATTCGAGATTCAACACAAACAGGAACAACGCCACTGTCTGAGAGGGTAATCTGAGGAGATCCCAACCAGGTCCGGGGAAAAGAAAGTCAGCTCAACAGCAGGTCTCTAGGAAAAGGGGGTTTCCAGAGCAAATGGCCACAAGTACCAGTCCACGAGCAACGAGACAGTCCAGCTCTCCAAGTAATTCCAAGGGCCTGAGAGTGGTGATGGTGGGAGGGAGAGGAACTCCAGCATATATATATATATATATAATTTGTATTAATTCTTCTGTCATACGTAGCTCTGGAGTTCAAATGCCTCCAAGAATAGGAACACCAGAATGTGGTCCTGAAACATTCTCAAACAACTGACCTTTATCTCAAGCATCCCCACTGAGCAGGTGTCGAATGGACACAAAAGTGTTAAAACACATTCTCTGCAGTTCAGCTCTCTCTGTGTTTTGAGTGTCATGCCGATGAAGATGAGTCTATAGGGTTTGTTTGATAAGTGTACAGGCCTTCCTCTCCCTGAGTGGAATGAAACACTGAATCCCATGCTGGGAGAACCATATGCTGTCATCATGTTGCACACTGCTGCTTGCAGACAGTATGTATACAGCTGCCCGCAAAAACTGCTGCAAATAATCAGTGGTTTTTAGAGCAAGAGACCAGGAGAGGAATAGAAACATGTTGTGTCCGATTTGTAATAATTTATAAATATTTAGACATTTAAAGGTTTGGAAAACATATCTGCATTGTAATTCACAGCCATTCTTTGTGTCGTAGGAATGGCATTTTGGTGGACCCCATTCAAGTGGTGTCATTGTTCCTCAAGGACCCTTATAGCTGGCCTGCTGCGTGCCTGGTCATTGGTATGTATTTTAAGGGAAGATTAGCATATATTTCCCAGTTTTGCCTTTTCTTTTGTTGTCCAGACAGGGACATTATTAAAATTAGACCGGTAGACGACACTCCCACATTCAAATAATGGCTATTTGATTTGCAGATTGTCAAAATACTTCCTTTGTTAATCTACTTAAATATAGATTGTTTGTATAATTCTGCATGTTATCAAAGACAGAGAAGAGTGTAATTGCTTTTAACTCTCAATCTTTATAGAGCGACATGTGATTTTATTTTGTTTGTAGCAGGTGGTGTGATTGTTCAATGTATGACTGCTGTGTATGTGTGTGTGTGTGTGTGTGTGTGTGTGTGCTGGCCATCTGCCCTGTTGTAAGGCTCATCCTGAGGGTACAATTTTGACCCTTTCATTACACCCTGCAAAAATGCTTTTATTCCTGCAACTGCTTTTATTTTTAGAAATATGATCATATTTGACATTATAACAATTCTTTGCTTGCAGTTTCTAATGTTTTTATACTTGTGGCGTTGTACACCGAGAGGAAACTAGCCATGGTGAGTTCAAAAGCCATTCACATTTCTACATTTAATCAGTTTATCCTAATGAATAAAAACATTGTCATAAAAATACAGGGGTTTTGTCGCTTCACACAGTATAATTTGGCATTTGGAATTACATTGAGGGGTTGTGAAGAGTTCAATTTAGAGGGCAAATTTGATACATTGCGTTTTAAAAAGCCTGGCATATTTGAGAGAGCTTGCAAAGTATCAGCACATTTACTCAACTGGCTGAATTGAAACTGAATGAACTTATAAACAGTTCAGGCATTTTGCTGATGTTGTGTAAGACTTGCATAAAAAATAAATTGTAGGGCTTTTAGAGAGGAGATGCATTTTTATGTGCACCAAAATTCAAATGGTGTTATATGTTTTAATGTGTCTTTTTATGTCACTATGTTGAGATTTCTCAAATGTTAATATTGATTCTGTTAATTTGCCCGATTGTGTTATTATGTAAACATCGGTGTTTTGTAATTGTAGTGCTTGGTAGTGTTCTTGATTGTGATTGATCGTGTGGATTGTTCAGACACTTGCTGTCTGTGATTGTGTTGTTTGGTTTGATTGTGTTGTTATCAGACATGTTTTATGTCTGTATTTTTGTACATGATGTACTTGGATTATGCTGTTAAATGTTTCCTCATTGTGTTTTCCAGGGGTCGATCAGTGAAAAGGTCGGCCTGCTGATCTACATCTTTAATTTAACAATCATCTTGTGTTTTCCGATGGTTGTTGTTTTGAAGCTGCTATCGATTACACCAGGTGAGACTGTACGTTATACTGAACATACACTTTTATTGTGCATTGTGTACTACATAATACAACACTTACAGTACACAAACACGTACACATGCTCTCTCTCTCTCTCTCTCTCTCTCTCTCTCTCTCTCTATATATATATATATATATATATATATATATATATATATACTGTCAATTATAACAAAAATTATGAATTTATACTAAAAATGTAAGTATATATATTTTAAAATGACTGATATGATTAACTGTACTATTTAGTGTTTTATTATTTATTTATTTGTATTGGTTACTGGCCAAAACAACAGTTATTTAATTCTTAAAACATTTTATATATATTTATAATTAGACAAAGCTGTATAATAATAATAATTATTATTATTATTATAATTGTTATGGCATTTTTAAAGAAATGTAATATCAGTGCATACCTAATGTATTAATTTACTCTCTGTCATACTTGTTTTTCTAGATAGTCATCAAGACAAAAACTGCTTTGTTTGTTGTTGCATTAATGTCGACTATAATATGCCATGTGATCATGTGATTCAGCTTTGCCGAAATGATTGGGCACAACCAAATTATGGTTTTACAGACTGAACTAATGCACCTTTATACCAGCATTCAGATCTCATGGGCTCAGCTGGCATGTGAATTGTATTTTTATTCACAATAGAAGATATAGCAGTAAACATGTTGTTGGATTAGAGCCACAGTCTAATGGTTATCAGTGGTGCTCAAGCAGTAGATGCAGGTTTGATTCTTACACTCATTGTGTTCTCATTAGTGATAGACTGATATATTTAGTCATTTCAAATACCAAAACCTAAATTAAGATGCATTTTAGTAGAAAATATATTCCCTCACTTCCTCTTCTCCATACCACAACTTTCACTAGCTCTTCTGTCCGCTCTCATCTGTTTGCACCACGGGAGGCGAAAATGTGCCTCCATCTGTCAGCCTAGTACCGCACACACTGCTCCTGCACCAGACAGCCAGGTCATTTCAGGGGCCGTCAGGGCCTCTGCTGGTCCTACAGCCCTTGAGATCATCTCTCTGTGGCATAGACGCACTCCAGAGCCCCTGCATGGACCATTTCCACCCAGCATATGGCTGCTATTGATAAAGCAGTGGTAGAGGGAGCATATGAGTGTGAGCCAGGTCTGTGTATGCTACAGTGGTGATGGGCTATCAGTCTGGATGTGCTGGGTCATGTGACTGTGAGTTATAAACCATTGAAAAAGGGGCATGCTGTGGTGTTGTGATGGAAGTTCATTTGCGTTACAAACCTCTTGTGTTCCTCATAAATTCAGGTATTAAAAGGAAGAAGTTAGTTCTGTTAATGCGAAAGCATTTTCCTAATAGTGTTTTTTCTGTTATTGTGTCCTCTTTATGCAGTTGGAGGGGCGTTTGCCTTGGGAGTCTACACCATCCTGTTTTTGAAACTGTACTCGTATAAGGATGTTAACTGGTGGTGCAGAGAAAGAACGCAAGCAAAGGCACGCAGCCTCTCCAGATCTCTTTCATGTGAGTAAATACATCCACCTCTCATCAAACATTACGTGCAGCAGTATGAAAGTTATGAAATACATATACGTATATATCTATGTGGTGCACTACATGGTCAAAACTGAGATGTAAATTTTGTCGCCCCCTGTTGGCTATTATAAGACTAGTTTACAATACTGTAAACACTATGCAGCAATAAGGACATTGGTACCGTAATTAGGGGGCCCCATCAATAAAAATTGTTCCGGGGCCATGTGAATTTTAGCAACTATCCTTTTACAATTAATGATTTCCAGTTTGCACTGAAAAAGGCTGATGAAAAATGTGTTACGCAAAAGAAACATTAAGATGTTAATACATAAACTAAAGTTTAAGAGGTTGTACATAAGTCAAACAGTCCCATCAGGATTTCACAGGTCGTTTTCATATTTTTGAAGCCCAAAATAACTGAACGTTCTATACCTTTTCTCAAAAATTGTGGTTATACTTACAGCATTTTTTGTGTTGTTTTGCTGTGAAAACCTACCAATAATTATGTGTTTATGTAATAAAATGCACAAGGCAATTAGGACAGTATAAAAATCTTTATAATCCTCCAGAATATTATTAGACACAGATTCCCCCTAAGGCTAACCTTTTTGCAGAACAATTGCTGAAATAAGACAACAATGCAAGCTAGTTCACCCAAAAATGAAAGTGCTGTCAACATTTACTCACCCTCGTATTTTGTTCCAAACCTGTAGGAGTTCTGTTCTTCTGCTAAACACAAAAGAAGATATTTTGAAGAATGTTGGTAAATGAACAGATGACAATAGCCATATGGGAAAAAATACTATGGAAGTCAATAACTTCTGTAAACTGTTTTGTTACCAACATTCTTCAAAATATCTTCTTTTATGTTCCACAAAAAGAAACTCATGGGAATGTTGACTGGTCAGTCAAGTAAATGATGACTGGGTGGAAAGTCCCTTTAATTCGTGCGATTGCAAGGTTGTAAAATTCTGGAGTGGTTAATGAAATAATTTTAGTCGACAGTTTGATATGTTTTGCATTAAATGCTTGTGTGATTGTGTGGTGTGAGATGCAGAGACCTCATTCTTTAGCTGAACATCAGGTTTAAATGACTTTAGAAGCAGATTTGTTTATCTCTTGACAGTTCTTGTGTTCTTTAGGTCCATCATCTCCATCTGCATCCAGCGCTATGCAGTCGCATGTGTCTTACCCAGGAAATCTCTCTCTCAGGGGTAAGCTGTGCCTTACAGTCCAGTCACCAAATAATATTTCCAATCAGGTTTTGTTTTATTTTCATGATATCTAACAACAATTCCAGCAGTGTCAAATACTATGACTTCAGATGACCTGAGAACTTGTAGTTAGTATTTTGACTTGTGTTTTTCAGATATTTATTATTTTGTTTTTGCTCCAACCCTGTGCTATGAGCTTAATTTTCCCCGCTCTGAATCCATCCGAATGGGATTTCTACTCAGGAGGCTCTTTGAGATGGTAGGCTATTGGCTTAGACATATTTCCTGACAGTATTGACAGTTCTTGCTCGTCATTACATTGATAACTTGTACTACCAGATTTGTTCACAGTATATTATCCCTTGTTTATTTTTGTGAATATTGCATTCTTGCCTAAATCTGCAAATGGCAATAAATCATGGGAATTAGCTTATTGTTTGCAAACAACTGCCGGGAGCCATGGCAGGAATATATGAGGGTAATTTTTATTTATGAAATTGCTTCTTGTTAGAGCATTACTTCCATTTATAGCTGTTGCAAATTACACATTTAATTCACACACACATACACGCACTTCTGTAAACAGCATTGTTAACATTTGCGTCTTATATTTAGTGAGAAATCAAAATCTGTTTTGCTTGTCTGTTGCAGTTGCTCCTCACTCAGTTATTGGTTGGTTTAACACAGCAGGTGAGCATCACACTGCATTTAGTAATCACATCACACCTGCAGTTTTCATGTCTGTGAGACATATTTCATATCTAATGTTCTTTCTATTGTCTTTCAGTGGATGGTGCCAATCATTCGAAGTTCAATGAAGCCATTGCAGGTTTGTTCATGTGCTTTATCTTCTGGGGTTTTTTTCAGTGCCTTAAAAAGAAACGCTTTATTTAATTCTGTGAAACCGGTTTCATTTTGCAGGAAATGGACTACAGTAGAATGACAGAGCGTCTGCTTAGACTAGCAGTGAGTAAATCTAATTTCACTAAATTCCTCCTCAGAATAGAAACTTAAACCTGTGTTCAAAGGAAATGAAGCAAGAAACGAATGATGGAATGAATACTGATTTTTATTCTACTGTAGGTGCCCAACCATCTCATCTGGTTGATTTTCTTCTACTGGTTTTTCCATTCCTCAATGAACTTTGTGGCCGAGCTATTGAGGTTTGGAGATCGTGAATTCTACCGTGACTGGTGGTGAGTGATCTTTACAGTTATTACTCTTTTTAAAAAAAAAAGAAGCTTTATTTGAGTGGCTTGAGCTTCCACTTCCACATCATACTGCGTTTGATAGGCTTTAAATGCAGTCCGTCTGGTTTATATGTGCCACCTCTGCCTCTTCCATTTCCATTTCATATGTGGAGTTTTTATTTTAAGTCTCAGATGGATTGTGACACTGTGTTTCTTTTAGGAACTCCGAGACAATAACGTACTTCTGGCAAAACTGGAATATTCCTGTGCACAAGTGGTGTCTCCGGTGAGTGAACGGAGGTTTTGAAAGAGACCACAGACAGCTGTTGGGAGGCGAGATGAAATACGACACAGTAAAACTCACAGAGACTATAATGAAGAGAGACTATAATGTGATCTGTCCACAAGAAATATATGGTTATTTACTGTTCACACTGACTGTGAGTTTATGTGCTTCTCTCTCCTGTTTTCAAAGGCACTTTTACAAGCCGTTGCTGAGAAGAGGTGCTGGCAAGTTACTGAGCCAATCAGCTGTGTTTTTCGCCTCTGCTTTTTTTCACGAGGTGAGATGTGCATAAATCACACACTGTTTTAAATATTCTGTCGGGTCGTGGCAAATGAAAGTTAACCGTCTGAGCAGGGTAACAACCTGTGTGAATAATTCTCCTTTTAGAAATGTGCTATTTCTCATGAGCAATAGCAAAACACTGCGATATTTTAGAAGCTAGTGTGTTTACATACAGAATATTACTTTGGTTAATACCATTAAAATACTAATGAAACATGAACTAACGAAATGTATAAACTTTAACCATTGTATACAGCTCACATGAAGTTAATTTTTAAAAACACTATTTAAATGTAATCTTTAGCAAATCTCAAAAAAAGAAAATCTAAATTCACGGGTTGCAAATAAAAACAACTGAATTTATTTTATTTGTGTTTTAATTTTATTAGACAAAACATTATCCCATTTTAATGTCAGCCTTTTTACAGTTATCGGCCATAACATGAAAATAATTTATTATTATTTTAATACCTAACAATGTTATTTATTCATGTGATGGCAAAGCTGAATTTTCAACAGCCATTATTCCAGTTTTCAGTGTCACATGATCCTTTAGAAATAAATTTTATCCGTTTTTATTAATATGATACATTTTGCAAACAGTTGTGCTGCCTAATATTTTTTTGTACCTAGCTTTTAGGATTCTTTGATAAATAGAAATTTGATTTAATAGAAACCTTTTGTAACATTAAAAATGTCGTTAGTGTCACTTTTGATCAACTTAAAGGGGTCATATGATGCAATTAAAATTTTTCCTTTCTCTTTGGAGTGTTACAAGCTCTTAGTGTATAAAGAAGATCTGTAAAGTTGCAAAGACTAAAGTCTCAAATCCAAAGAGGTATTCTTTATAAAAGTTAAGAGTCAACCACGCCTACCTAAAACGGCTCGTTCTAACACGCCCCCACATGTCTACGTCACGATGTGGGAAGATTTGCATAACGCCGCCCAAATGTTCACGCAAAGAAAGAAGGCATAACTTTTATTCTTGCTGTAGTATTGTTGTTGCTGCCACCATGTCGTGAAGGCACTGTGTTTCATTGTGAAAGCAAAACTTTGTTTGGCCTTCCAAAAGAGGACGATTTCCGCTTCGTCATGCCTGGAGCTTATCCGTGCTGGTCGCTGAGGAAATACATCAACTTTGTGCTGTGGATCGCCGGATCGGCTTTTACCGTGGACGAAGCGAAGTCCAGCCCGGGGTCGTCACATGTGGTTGCCGCAAG